AGAACAGATCAGTGACAGATCTAAGGGTCTCCTGCGAGCCCTGAGGTACCCATGTGGCCCTTTATAGGAAAGATTTATGGGCCATTGTTTGAAAAGATGAAGTATATAAATGGACTGTGGAGTAGTTGGTGGGCAGAGAGAGAAGCAAATGCTCTGTTTTATCTGTAAAAAGGTGTGGGTATCAATATGAAAATGCATCTATTTGACAAACCCGAAGCAGTTACTGTCTGCTAAGGTTTCCACTACAGATGCAAGAAAAACATCCTCGCGCTTTCTTCCTGTCTTTGATTGTGGCAGCCCAGATTGAATGGGGGAATACAGGGTGAAACTTGGAACCTTACAACCAAGTGACATCCAGAGTCAGTGGTAGGTGGTCTCAGACAGGTTGGTAGTGCCCCCTGGTGACAGTCCAAATAATTGTTTGGAAACTGCAGTCATGCTGAGGGCAATTCTAAGCATTCTGTCCTAAGTAGTGTAGATAACATGCCAGTGATACAGGAGGCCACTTACCTCTGAAATGTACTAATGGGAGACTTTTCAGGCAGGGGTCAGTGCTATGAAGGTGACAAGGTAGTGGGAGAAGTAACATAAGCTGTGAGCTTGCATGGAAAAGGCTGGAAGAACAGGAATAGCAATATAGAGACTGTAGGAAGTGAAGAGAAGGCTAAGAAGGCTTATTTTGGATCGTTTTCTAGTTGGTGTCATGTCTAGTAAGCGGAAGCTGAAAAGGAAGGAGATTATGTGGGTATCTGGGAGCGAAGCATGCCAGGCAAAAGAGCAGCATGTTGAAGTAGAGTGTGGTTGACAGGTTCAGGGGACAAGGTGGCCAGGATGCTGGGCCCAAGACAGCAGGAGGACCTGAGCTACAGAAGTAAGTGCACAGGAAAAGAAACCAAGTCACACAGAAGCCCCCAAGAGGGCTTTGTGTGGAAGTGCGATGTGATCTGATCTAAAGGGTCATTTTGGGTGCTGGGAGGCCAGGTAAAAGCAAAGAGAACAGTGATGTATAATACAAGAGATAGTGGCTTAGTCTAAGGTGGTAATTGAGATAAGCACAGATGCTCATATCTCAAAGCTATGGCAGCTTGATACAGAGATGTTGAGTGTAGTTCTGGGGTGCATGCTGTCTCTATTGAGGGCTCACTGCAAAAGAAATGCTGAATGCTGTTTTGAATTGTGACCTTTTTTTTCTAGAGAAGAAACTTTCTCTGGATTTTGTTCGATTTGTGAAATCAGGTACTAGTGTAGCTACGTCTTTTTTAAAAGCAAAGTTGTCTAGAAGGATGTCTGCTGGGACAAATGTATGACATTTGAAGCTAAAATACTGAGTGAGGTGACCTAGACGGGATGGACTCAGCCCTCCAATGCAGAGATTGGTCAACATGATGAACCTACAGAGTGATTGAGGGAACTGCCTTTGATGTAGGGAAACCAAGGGAGAGGCCGCCTGGAGGCCCAGTGGACAGCATTTCAGGAAGGAGCAGGTCCACAGGGTTACCTGTTGTAAATGGGTCAAGTAAGATGAGGACTGAGAATGGTAGACTTGGCAGGGGTTGGGTTTCAGTTGTAGGGAAGAAAACAAGACTGGCTCAAGAGAACATCCAACTCAGGCAGCACGGTGCCCACGAGATGTAATAATTCAAGCAGTACATGTTTGTATTACGTGTGCATCTGCTTAAGCTATAGATACGTAAGTAACTCATTTGAGCCATTAGACATGATTTTCTTAAAATCTAATTGGGGGACTTCCCTGGTGGTCCACTGGCTAAGACTTCACTCCCAGTGCAAGGGGCCCGGATTTGATCCCTGGTCAGGGAACTTGATCCCGTAAGTGATGTCTTCTGCTACTGTGAGGGCATGTTTTCAGCTGCCAACAAATTCTAATTTACTGTTTGAGAGCTTGTACGTAGTGGCTTCCCTGGTGGCCCAGACGTCTTATGGTAGTTCGAATGCCACGACTAAAGATCCCACATGCTGAAACTTAAGACCCAGAGTAGCCATATAAATATTAAAAAAAAAAAAAAACTAATTAGGTCACTGGTAAATGTTGCATTGATGTAAATTCCATGTGAACTACAGGCTTTAGGGTTTAACCAATAACTACAACTATACTGGCAAAACTGCAAGAAGAGCAGCAAAAATCTCAACCAACTTGCAAAAAATCCTGGTAACAAAGCCTGCTTGTAAAGTTCTGACCATCTGTGTGCATGTGCTTGGAGCTGCGACCTGGGCTAGCAGCCAGAACCCTCTCAGTAATGGAATTTAAACCAGGGTACTTGAATTAACTGACACGACATCTTACTGACTGGTGACTTGCATTTAGGTCATACCATACAACTCTTAATTCTATGAGAAAAGTCTGGCTAATGACCCCCTCGTAGGCCACAAGCCTTTTCTTGCAAAAGCTCATTTTGTGGCAATTGGTGCCAGTTACCACAGACTTTGTCCAAAAGAACTGAGGGCCCAACTTGCTGTTTTGGGGCTAGATTTATGACCATCTGGGGGTGTGGATGATACTTAAAAATCACTGCATTGAAAAAGTTTTCTTTTGATACTGTATAAAAACATGCACTACTTGGGATATTTGGTTCTTTCTATAACCTTTAACATTGCATTATTCCAAAGGAAAGGTCCTTGACTAAAGGACTTTAACATACACAAGAATAAGATGCTACGCACCTTTCATTGAATTAAAGCAGCTGCTGTGACAGCCATCTTGATAGATGTTGCAGATAAAGTCTAAAATGCTTATAATGCTGGTAGTTTATGTTTATCCCACCGAAGTCCTTCAAGTCCATCCTTTGGTTCGGTGGTGCTTTGGTGGACTGCACGCCTGCTGGCTGTCCAGAGCAGAGTTCCGACACGGTGGGGGCATGTTTTCAACTGCCAGCAAACTCCAGTTTATTTCTTGAGAGCTTGTACACTGTGGGCTTCCCTGGTGTCTCAGCTGGTAAAGAATCGGCCTGCAATGCGGGAGACGGGTTCAATCTCTGGGTCGGGACGATCCCCTGGAATAGGAGATGGCGACCCACTCCAGTATACTTACCTGAAGAATCCCCATGGACAGAGGAGCCTGGCGGGCTTCAGTCCGTGGAGTCACAAAAAGTCAGACACAACTGAGTGACTAAGCACAGCACATTGTGGATTTGTGCTGCTAAAAATCACTGAAAGCCTCAAGTGGATGTGGATTTAGCAGGAGTCCATACAATTCAGTGAGAAAAATGCCAACTATGAGCCTGGGGGAGGGGTTGAGATTCTTTCCAAAGTAACTGCTTGCTCAAAGATGTTTCCTTCAGTGACCTCCCGGCTCCTGCTCCAGGGCACACCTGACATCTGTTTTCCTTTATGTATGAGTGGTGCTCTTTTCTGAGCTTTGAGGTAGAGTAGGGAGGGGGACTACCATAAACTGTGCTTTGCATATATGACTCACAGTTTAGGAGAAATGAGAATTCATACCAGGTGACTCACTTGTGTATGCTGAAGTCTTTTACTCCAGGACTTTTCCTTTGGAGTAGTGCCGTGTTAAAGGTTATAGAAAGAAACAAATATCCAAAGGAGTAGCTCACTGGGAGAGGGCCACGGCCACAATCACCCATCAGAAGATTACGGTATTGTGACTTCCCTGGTGGTTCAGTGGTTAAGACTACTTCCAATGCAGGGAGCAAGGGTTTGATCCCTGGTTGGGGAACTAAAATCCCACATGCTGTGCAGTGTGGCCAAGACAATTTAAAAAAAAAAATCGCACTACGTCTTAAAAAACTAAAATTAGAGCTACCTTATGATCCAGCAATATCACTCCTGGTCATATATCTAGAGAAAACAAACTTGGAAAGATATATGCACCCCAATGCACCCCAATGCAGCACTATTTACAATAGCGAAAACATGGAAGGAACCTAAATGTCCATCTGTGGGTGAATGGACAAAGATGTCATAATGTATGTATATGTGTGTGTATCTATACATACACGGTGGAATATTAGTCATAAAAAGAATGAAATGCCATTTGCAGCAACATGAACGGACCTAGAGATTATCACACTGAATGAACTAATAGCCAAATACCATGACATTGCTTATATGTGGAATCTTTAAAAATGGTGTAAATGAAGTTATTTTCAAAACAGTCACAGGTGCAAAGAACAAACTTGCAGTTACCAGTGGGGAAAGGCCAGGAGGGATAAACCAGGAGATTGGGATTGACAGAAAATAGCTACTAGGAACCTACTGTATAGCACAGAGAAGTCTACTCAATATTCTAATTACCCACATTGGGACAGAATCTAAAAAAAGAGTGGTGGTGCTTTAGTCACCAAGTTGGGTCTGACTCTTGCAACCCCATGGACTAGCCTGCCAGGCTCCCCTCCATGGGATTCTTCAGACAAGAATTCTGGAGTGGGTTGCCACTTCCTTCCCCAGGGCATCTTCCTGACCCGGGAATCGAACCTGGGTCTCCTTCACTGTAGGCAGATTCTTTACCGACTGCACTACAAAGGAAGCCATGTGTGTGACTGGCTCACTGCTCTAGAGCAGAAACAACACTGTAATAAAAACCGGCAGCTTCCCTGGCGGCCCGGCTGTTGAAGAGTCCGCCCGTGACGCAGGAGACCCTAGTCCAACTCCCGGGGCGGGAAGACGCGATGGAGAAGGGAGAGGCTCACCCACTCCAGTATTCTCGGGTTTCCCCGGTGTCCCGGCTGGTGAAGAGTCCGCCTGCTACGCAGGAGACCCCGGTCTAACTCCCGGGGCGGGAAGACGCGATGGAGAAGGGAGAGGCTCACCCACTCCAGTATTCTTGGGTTTCCCCGGTGGCCCGGCTGGTGAAGAGTCCGCCCGCGATGCAGGAGACCCCGGTCTAACTCCCGGGGCGGGAAGACGCGATGGAGAAGGGAGAGGCTCACCCACTCCAGTATTCTCGGGTTTCCCCGGTGGCCCGGCTGGTGAAGAGTCCGCCCGCGATGCAGGAGACCCCGGTCCAACTCCCGGGGCGGGAAGACGCGATGGAGAAGGGAGAGGCTCACCCACTCCAGTATTCTTGGGTTTCCCTTGCGGCCCAGCTCTTAAAGAATCCGCCTGCGATGCAGGAGACCCCGGTCCAACTCCCAGGTCGGGGAGACGCGATGGAGAAGGGAGAGGCTCACCCACTCCAGTATTCTTGGGTTTCCCTTGCGGCCCAGCTCTTAAAGAATCCGCCTGCGATGCAGGAGACCCCGGTCCAACTCCCAGGTCGGGGAGACGCGATGGAGAAGGGAGAGGCTCACCCACTCCAGTATTCTTGGGTTTCCCTTGTGGCTCAGTTGGTAAAGAATCCGCCTGCAATGCGGGAGGCCTGGGTTGGGAAGAACCCCTGGAGAAGGGAAAGACTACCCAGTCCAGTGTTCTGGCCTGGAAAAGACAGTCTATGGGGTCACAAAGAGTCAGACATGACTGAGCAACTTTCACTTTTTAATAGAAATTAATAGAGCTCTCATAGAGCAACTAGACATTACTTAGTTCCGAGTTTGTGTCATTTAGTTTGATACCAGAAGTCCAGTTGTGTACTTGGTGATTTTCCTCATGTCTAAAGGCAGCGGGAGAACCCTAGCTTATTATCAAACGCAGCTTTCCTACGGTCTTGACAGCAGCACAGGGTTATCAAATTACTCCACCAAGTGCATAATCTACTATTCCCTAAGCAGCCGGTAGAAATTCGGCAGATCACAGAGAAAGTTGGTGTTTTGTGGACATTTATTCAAGCAGACCTAAACATGCAGTTTCGTTATTGAGTAATTTGGAAGTCTCCCTCAAGAACCGCCAATTTATAGTTTGAGTCAGATATCTAAACTAATATTGAACCTAGGGGGGAAAACTGGCAGGTGAAAGGGTGAGTTATTGCACATGAAGTTAAAAGGAAAATATACCTCTTGACTACCACACACAGGAGGAATAGTGTATATCAGCAGATGGCAAGTACAAAATTGGAAGCCGAGTCAACAACTCTTGGTGTGATGCATTATAATATCTTCCTCCATCACCTTGCAAGCACCCCATCCTGCCTAAGCCTCCATTGTACTGACGCCACATGGATGGATTCTGTCAGGTGGAACAAGGGCTGGGTGGCAGTACCCTTGGTTGTTGCTATAATAGCAGGATGGCAAGTACCAACTGCTGGCATCTATTAAAAGCAAAAGTGACTAAGCTTTTGAAAGTTGGTTAAGTAATGTGCCACCTGTTCTCTGCTCCACAGACAAGGGAGGAGGAGGGTTGAGTGTGAATGTGGGAGCAGCAGAGAGTTTAGCATCCCAAGAGCATCCTGGAGGCTTGTGTTTCTGAGGGAGTTATTAAGCCCTATGGTTTATGGAGCGGAGAGTTGTGCAAAACCCCTTCCAGGTATTGCTAAGCTTCCTCTCTCAATATCCTGTGGGACGTGTCAAATGCCCTAGCTATTTCTTGGTGAGTTTGACATTGATGTGTACACTCTGATAAATTTAAAATGGGTAACCAACAAGGACCTACAGAGCACAGGAAACTCTGCTCAATGTCATGTGGCAGCCTGGATGGGCGGGGAGTTTGGGAGAGAATGGATAGATGGATATGTATGGCTGAGTTGCTCTGCTGGGCACCTGAAACTGTCACAACATTATTAATTGGCTATTCCCAGGTGGTTCCGTGGTAAAGAGTCCACCTGCAGGAGATTCGAGTTTGATCCCTGGGTAGGGAAGATCCCCTGGAGGAAGGCACGGCAACTTACTCCAGTATTCTTGCCTGGAGAATCCCCATGGACAGAGGGCTACAGTCTGTGAGGTCGCAAAAGAGTTGGACACGACTTAGCAACTGAGCACGCATGAACATGCTCCAGTATAAAATAAAAGGCAAAAAAAATGCTGTGGTAATTTTGCTGGATATTCTGTCCTATCCCCTCAGGGTGCCTGTGCCTGAAGCCTTTTCCTACACCCCCTGTCCATCTGCCTGCATTCATGCCTCAGGGGGATGGGAGAGGTGTGTGCTCTGTTGGAAGCTGGTAACCAGGCAGGTGGAGCAGGGTAAGATGGCCAGAAGTGGAGGGGGCTTATTGGTCCCAGTGAATTTTGTTCTCTTGTGCAGAGAGTAGGCAGCTGCTGCTGCTGCTGCTAAGTCACTTCAGTCGTGTCCAACTCCGTGCGACCCCATAGACAGCAGCCCACCAGGCTCCCCCATCCCTGGGATTTTCCAGGTAAGAACACTGGAGTGGGTTGCCACTGCCTTCCTCAGCAGGCAGCTGGCCAATATATAATCAGATTCACTCATGTATACTAAAAGTTCAAGAGTGAGCTCTGACCAGATGGAGTCTGACATTTGGCTCTTCTCCAAGATGTGAGAAAAGCTGTGGACTCCTACAAAGAACCTGAGGGTTTTAGGGTTGAGCAGAGTCTTCCCATTCCTGACCAACTTCTGTTTTTTTCTCAGTCATAGCTAAGGCTGTGAGAATGACCCATTTGATGGAATGACCGATAGGGAATTCCCACAGGGTTATTCACCAAGAGGGTGTGTCCAAATTGCCAGCTGGGTCACCATATTTTTGGGGTAAGGACACTTAAGATCTACCTTCTTAACAAATTTCAACTATTCAATAAAGTGTTATCTATAGTAAAACAAAAAACAAAAACCCTGCTAGCTGGGGACTGCATGTACTCTTTCTACTTTGCGTCGGGGGCTTCCCAGGTGGCTCCAGTGGTGAAGAACCCACCTGCCAATGCAGGAAATATAAGAGATGCGGGTTTGATCCCCGGTTGGGAAGATCCCTGGACAAGGGCATGGCAACCCACTCCAGTATTCTTGCCTGGAGAATCCCATGGACAGAGGAGCCTGGTGGGCTACGGTCCATTGAGTTGCAGAGTTGGACATGACAGAAGCAATTTAGCATGCACGCATGCACTTTACATCTGGGTGTAAAATGGGAAGATGCCAATGGAAAGTTGTTTTTTTAAGGAAGCCACCCACCATTTCCTTCAATATAAATTTATAATGAAATTCTGTACAAAACCCTTCATAGCTGGGCCATTTGCTTACCTGTTCAAGCTTCCCTGCCTCTCTTTACTATCCACCCTCCACTTCGAGGTGGAGTGCAGGTGGCGTGATTCTGACCCTCTGCACTGAAGTCTTGTTCTTTTCTCGAAGACTGCACTGCATTTTATCTTGGAAGAGTTTATTGATTCCTCCAACCATTCCATTCACCCTCAGTGCTCCAGTGTGGTAACTGTCCTCCACTTTACTGAAGTCACTGAATCCCTTGTCTCTGCATCACTGTTATTCCTGAAATCAAGGAGGGGGTTTTGTCAGTCTCCCTTCTTTGCCGATGGCATTCCGTCCAGATTTGCTGATGGAGTAAATAGTGAGCTTTCACCAGTCCCTGAGTGTTCTGAGCCACATGTCCCTGTGTGGCTCCTGTTTTCAAATACAGTCTCTAAGTTTGGAAAAGTGGATAACCAGACCAGAATGTGTGGTCTGTAGGAGAGCAGTATCTTCTTCCTGTAGTGCTTTCGTCACAAGCCACTGGTCCCAGCAGTCCCTAATGGAGTCAAAGGTGAAGGTACCTAATAGCAAAGAATGCAAAATGCTTCTCTTCTGTCTTAATGGTGAAATATTTCTTTTTCAGAGCACCTCACATGTGTAAAGCTTAGCTTCCCCTAGTGTCTAGAATTAACGGTTATGCTCTTTGTATTGGCTACTGCATGACGGGCTTTTTCTTATCCCATTCTGGATTCCCAAGTTATGTCCCATGTGTGATTCCACAGTAGGAGGTGTGCATTTTGCTGAGTCTTGAAAACTGTAGCACCCTTGTCAAATCCCTGCTTCAGAATTACCTGGTATGACTTTTTGAAATACAGATGAAACTCTGCACGCCACATTACCGACAGAGGAGTCTATATATTAAGTTGGAAACTGAAAAGAATCTTACTCTATTTTCAGTCTAACAAGTTAGCCTACCACAGTTCCATGTACATTTTATGAAAAGACTTCCCTGGTGGTCCAGCAGTTAAGACCCTGCACTCACAATGCAAGGGCCCAGGTTTGATCCCTGGCCAGGAACTAGATTTCACATGCTGCAAATAAGAGTTTGCATGCTGTAACTAAGATTCAGCATAGCCAAGTAAATAAATAAAATACTTAAAAAGACACAAGACCTCTAGGTCAGAGATAACAGTTTACCACTCACAGCAAAAACAGTGGCCAGAGCAGCACCTTGCACTGGGTCCCATCCCCCACCCCCAACAGAGTGACGTGGTGAGGGCCAGATGGTCCCAGTGCTTGCAATGGGGTGCACCACAGCAGAAATTAGGAGCTTACAAGGCTACGAACACATCTCCCCATCCTTCCCTCTGGATAAGCACATTACATACCTGGAATATAGGCAAATCTCTGCAGGAAATGGGAAGATATCTCTAGTTTAAGGTATCTCTGAGGAGCTACATCTTCAAATCTCTTCAGAGCGATACGCTATCTCTAGATTCCGAGGATGTCTATTATTTAAATATATTCTTTGCAAATTTGAAGATAATGCAGAGAAATGGAACGCTATCTCATGCTCTTGAAGATTGGAAGAATTAATTGTGTTAAAATGGCCATACTACCCAAAATAGCTTTCCATTTCTCTGAATTATCTTCAAATTTGCAAAGTAATCTACAGATTTAATGTGATCTCTATCAAATTACCCATGACATTTTTCACAGAACTATAACATATAATCCTAAAATTTATATAGAACCATAAAAGATGCAGAACTGCCAAAGTAATCATGAGCAGAAGGAACACAGCTGGAGGCATAACCCTTCTAGACAATGCTATAAAGCTACAGTAATCAAAACAGCATGGAACTGGCACACAAACAGACATACGGATCAATGGAACAGAATTAAAAAAAAAAAAACAAAAAACAGAAATAAGCCCACACACCTATGGTCAGTTAATCTCCAACAAAGGAGGCAAGAATATACAATGGAGAAGACAGACTCTTCAGCAAGTGGTGTTCAGAAAAGCCTCATGTAAATCATGTAAATCATTAGAACACTCTCTCACATGATACACAAAAATAAACTCAAAATGGCTTAAAGACTTAAATGTAAGACATGACACCATGAAACTCCTAGAATAAAAAAAAGGCTCACCATTTTCTGACATAAATTATACCGATGTTTCCTTAGGTCAGTCTCCCAGGGCGATAAAAATAAAAGCAAAAATAGACAAATTGAGACCTAATTAAACTCAAAAGCTTTTGCACAGCAAAGGAAACCATAAACAAAACAAAAATATAACAACCTATGGACTGGGAGAAAATATTTGCAAACAATGTGACAGACAAGGGATTAGTTTCTAAAATACACAAACAGCTCATATAACTCAATGATTTAAAAAAAAAATCAAAAAATAGTCAGAAGACCTAAATAGACATTTCTCCAAAGAAGACATACAGATCTTCAACAGGCACATGAAAAGGTGCTC